ATTTTTGGTTGAAGAAAACTCTGTAAGTCAAAACTGGTAACTGGCCTTTTGATATTTTGTGATAAAGTATGTTTTCATTTTTTAATTTATATTCATTAATTGCTTGTATTATATATATATATATATATATATATAGCCTTCTTTTTCTATTATATCATTGCTTTGAAAAAACAAGACATAAAACTGTATTTATTATTAATAAATATCATTGACCTCTTATAGTTCTTATTGTTTTCTATTTTTAATTTAACCATATTAACACATTATATAAGTTTGGCTTTAACTTTTACAATATTCCGTACTTCGTGTTGCACATTAAATTGATATTTGTAATAAATTTCTTCAATTAATCAATAGAGATTTTTAGCATTAATATTTTGTCTTAAACAGCAAGTAAACATTGTTTGCAAAAATAATTATGCTTCATCTGCAGCGTCGATACTTCAATACTTTGAAAAAGACAAACGCAATGTTTACAACTAATGACAGTAAATAGGGACTTTCTAAAACATTGTAAATTTTCTATAGAAGAACACATTATATATTGATACATTACAGTATCTGTATGAACTACCTTGATAACTTACATTATCTATTTAAAATATTTAATAATAAAAACTTTTACATAAGTCTATTATGTCAAAAATGAAAACAACAAAAATAAAGCGAGTGATAAGAGTTGACATCGAAGATAATATGTATCTTAATAGATCAATTTTAATTTTCCACAACATTAATATAAAGCTGTAAATACAAAAACGTATAACAATGTACTTTTTGACTCTAGTTTGAGTCTTCATTAACAATATTTTAACTTAAAAATTAAGAAACTTGTGATGAGAGACATTATCACGTCTATGTAAAGTTATTTTAGTTATGTCCTAATTTGTATTACTCGTTTAATATTTTTAATAAATTTGCTAATTAGCAATTTTCTATTAAATTATCTTAATTTCGACAATACCTGTAAATGTATATACATGTATTTAATTGATCATCTTGATTTATTATTATATTGTATATACCACCTTAATACACCGTTCTTCAAACGCATTGATGAAATTAAAACAATTTAATAAAAAATTATAAATTTGATGTAAATATTAAACAATTGGTGTAAATTTATAGGCTTATATTAAACTATTAATTTCATCATTAGTCATACATCCTTCTTCACAGGATCATTTTTTTTTATTACGGATAACCACCTATATTAGCGAATTCATCGGGTGTCCGGCCACCAGCCATGAGCCACTTGCACCAATCGATGGTCTCCCAGTCATCGATGGGTTTGCTGGGATTCAGCAAGACATCCAGCAGCTCATTGAGATACGGCGGGTTCGTATTAGTCCCGGTGTTCCGACCAGTAGCCAGGCTGATGTAGGCCGCTGCTCCGCGTTTGCCCTTGCCCATTAGCACCTGGACATCGCTGCTGGAGGTCGAAGCCATTCTGAGCACGGTTGTCTACCTTAGAAGAGGATGTCGTCGTCGTCGTCGTCGTCGTCGTCGTCGTCGTCGTCGTCGTCGTCGTCGTCGTCGTCGTCGTCGTCGTCGTCGTCGTCGTCGTCGTCGTCGTCGTCGTCGTCGTCGTCGTCGTCGTCGTCGTCGTCGTCGTCGTCGTCGTCGTCGTCGTCGTCGTCGTCGTCGTCGTCGTCGTCGTCGTCGTCGTCGTCGTCGTCGTCGTCGTCGTCGTCGTCGTCGTCGTCGTCGTCGTCGTCGTCGTCGTCGTCGTCGTCGTCGTCGTCGTCTCCGTCGTCGTCGGCGTCGTTTACGATCTCCTTATATAGAGCCGTTCGAGACTTTTATTTATTTTCGAAGCAGTCTTCGTGGTCGTCGTCGTGTCCGTGTTCGTCGTCGTCGTCGTCGTCGTCGTCGTCGTCGTCGTCGTCGTCTTCGTCGTCGTCGTCGTCGTTTACGATCTCCTTATATAGAGCCGTTCGAGACTTTTATTTATTTTCGAAGCAGGGAGGGCCCACGGAGACCAGGACCAAACGCTCGGTCAGTGGCCCCATATCAGCAGCGAGAGAACGCGTCTCCTCCCGATTCGGAGTGTGCCGTCGTCGCCGTCGTCGTCGCGACCGCGGCCGACGGCATGACGAAGTCGGCGACTCCGAGCTCGAACTCCCCCGTTAACGTTAACTGACGTTAACGGCGCTACGATCCCCGTGCACGACAGACCACGACGATTTATAACACGCTCGATGGTGCCTCTATTCTGGGAATGAGGCGCTGGGAGGTGCGACGATTATTTGTACGAACGGATTGCGCTCAGTGAGCGAAAATATGCGACGACACGATATATGATTTATGTAGAATATACGACACGCGAATCGCGATAACAGCACGACACGACAGACACGACAAACACGACTTGGACACGGATACCACGCGATCCACGTACGATGACGGACCAACGATTAACGCGAGTCAACCGATCAACCGTTTCGCTGAGAAAGATAGAGAGATCAGGAAACCGATGACCGAAGTGATGTAGGAATTAGACAATCCCACTAGCGCGTCCACTTCAGTCCACTCGATTTACTGCTTGCTCGGTGATAGCTGAGCGGTCTGCTTTATCGACGTGGTAAATCTCGTATCTGATGATGCAAGTTGAATAAAGTCTATGCACATGGTGCGTTTCTTATGTTAAGGTATATCCACACAAACTTGCATAATCACACTTTGCGTGCGTCTTTATAAGAGAAGTGCGATTGGATAATTTCTATTATCCATTTCGTTTATACAAGTTGTGTGGATATACTCTAATGGCCATTCTACAATAAGCCATTAGTCATAAATCATAAATTAGAAGTTAGAAGTTGGAAATTGATTTAAGTCCTTAACGCATAATGCATAGTGCATAAGGAAATCAATCGAAATCCTTCTTTTCTAGGGAATGGGAAGAAAGGAAAGATTCTGATTAATTGATTCGTTTATGCATTGTGCGTTATGCAAAAGTCTGTGCTGCGGCCTTTACACGTATTCTACAATAAGTCATTAATCATAAATCAGAAGTTAGAAGCTAGAAATTGACCAATCACAGTCGTCAATTTCCAACTTCTAATTTCTGATTTATGACTAATCCCTAACAGCACAAAGTCGACTCTGAGTCGACAATAACTTCTAGACGTCTGAAAAATGAACATCCATAAGTCGACTTTAGACTTATACAATGTCCCACAAAGACTGTAAGCTGACTTTAAGTCAATCATTCTAGACTGTAGTCCGATTCATGCCCACCACGCTCATGAACAGCATTCATCCTTGTTTAATTATAGTTAAACAACAAGGACGAAATGATTCTACATTTAAACGTAAATCACATTAGACGTCTTAAAGTCAACATTGGAAGGACACTGTACAAACGACTTACAGTCGACTCTAAAGGCCTGACTTAGCAAAGTCAACTTACAGTCAACATATCGACGTGTGCTGTTAGGGATGACTTATTGTAGAATGGCCATAAAAGGACCATAAGAGTTATATTTGTATATTACTTACTTGCAATGGCTCTGAACGCGTGTGACGAGAAGAAAGGTAGTGTTGAAGGGAATAACATTGAGAGGTATCTGGGGCTTGACTGTGTATTTTGAAATGAGGTAAAAATTATGAAAGTGAGCAATGATTATGAGACCAATTAAATTATGAATATTCTAGTGAATTTATTCACTTTTGTAATTTTCCTTAATTCAAGATACATAATCGACCCCCTGCTTACCGTTGAAATCTTGGTGGGGACACGATCATGTGACCATTTAGAAGGTTCTGCCTTAAGTCATAAGAAATTGATCAATTACAGTCAAATAATTTCTTCAATCATCAATGACTGCGTTGAATGAACAACAGTTGTTGAGTGAGCGCTCACTGCTTGATTTATTTTTTTAGATCCAAAATGCTAATTGGATGATTTAAAAAAATATACCAACGATTGCGTTCAGCGGATTTAACAATTAAGTGAGCGCTTGCTGTTATTTGTGTATTCTTTTAGATCATCCAAGCATTTTAGATCTGAAAGAACCATATCAGAAACATCAATAGCGCTCACTGCCATTGACTGTGTTCAATAGAACACAACAGTTTTGCAACCGTTTTATGATTATCTGCTGAGATAGGACCATTCCTCTTGATCTAAAAGCATAACCTAATCAGTGCGAAGAAAACTTCCACAGTTGCAAAATAAACGTTCTGTTAAACGCAGCCATTGTCTGGTACTGTTATTATTATTTGCCACAGAGATTAAATTATATATAATATATAAACTATGTACAATATTAGAAATTTTTAGTAAGCAAGATTATAATTGATTAAATTAATCGAGGTTTATTCAAAGTCACTCTTCGGGCGGTATTCATAGTCAGATCTTATATTCAAAACCGTTTCAAAGCATCTCATGGAGCGGAAATTTATAGCGGAACGGAACAACGAGACCAATCACACTCTGTCATTACTTTCTTTTCTGTGATCTGATTGGTCTCGTTGTTTTGTTCCGCTATAAATTTCCATTTCATAGGATGTCAGCCTAAGGGTGAAATCTCACAGTGCGGAAAACGATTGCGAAATAGAGAACGCACTATAAAAGTAACCAATCAACATTCTTCTGCGTTATTCCGAATAGCGCTAATTGGTTGTTTCAATGACGCATCCTCTATTCCGCAGCCTTTTTTCGCATCATGTGATTTCACCCTAAGTTCTTAAGAAGTTATGAACCAATCAGAGAGCCATATTAGCGTCTTAAGACATTACTTAAGACAGTCTTGAAATAAGAACGGACTGATGAATACCGCCCTTTGAATACTTTAGGTACTCTATTCTTTGTGTGATCATATTATTATATATTAAATCACTTATGCAATTTAGGTATGTAACTAATAAGTATTGTAATTACGATGCGCGATGCTTTAACAATGCTTTTAGCGAGTATCTATTTTATGCTCCGCACGATTATTTATTTACCATCACATCGCATCTTTTACACAGTAGAGAAGATAGAGAATATATTTTCCAGAGATTACATATAAAACAATCACGTGGTATTAAAAGAGATAATCTATACAAACAACGATCTTTCGCATTGACTAAGATTGACCGAAGCTACAGATTTGTTTCGCTTCTTCGTATCGATCCCAAATTCTCTTGCGTTTTGTCAAACTCGCGGTTGATCAGTTCCGAAAGAACTGAAGAACAAGTTCTATTTTTCGTCAATTCAGGTTGGAGGCACATAAATTACATAGATTAATCGTACGTACATTCTCTTTCTCTCATATGTACATTCTACAGAGAGTCAATGAAATACTTTTCCCAATTATTTAAATTAAAAATCTTGTAAAGATTAAAACAGGCGATTATTGATACTCTGAAAAAACTAACGTCGAAGTTTGACTCGAATCGAGGTTATAAAGCCCGTGAATTCTCAAGAGATTTCGTAATTAGGCAAATTTTTTTAAATTCATCGATTGATCGCATATTATGTGCAGATTTAGTTTTTCTGAAATAAAAGCATTTGCGCATAATGCGATTGCTCAATCACGAATTAAAAAAACTCGACTATTCTTGTGCATTATCGATATCATTCAAAAGTATTCGAACTATTTGAAGTTGTATTCGAGACAATTCGTGTCTTGACAGCTAAAAAATCGATTGTCGAATTCTGACCCGATCTGATCGAATTGCACAGATAGACTTCTAAAAACTTGTTCAAAGAGAAAAGAGTTTCGTAATTAGATACAAGATATTTATCATTCAACGTATTCGCGCTCTTCATACGTCTACTGTTTTTATATAAATCGCAACGAAATAAATACAAAAAAAGATTGTCGAAAATGCGACTCATCTTAAAAGCGATCCAAAGCTATTCGTCAGTGGAGACTTACTACTTATCAGCTGACGGCGGTTTGCACTTTGCACCGCTTTTTATCATATGATCCGTGTTTTCTGCGACTCATCCTACGAATCGTGTCTTCCAGGTCCAGAAAATTGAGAACAGATAGCAATTGATACGAAAAAATGGTGCTTTCCAAGCCTGTCAATCTTTTTTATAGTCTCATCGGCGCATATTTACAACGGCTGTATTACAGTCCTTTAAAAACAAAAGCTGTAACGAGGTAACAAAGCAGAATCTTGCTACATAAACTCTAGATGTATACATGACTATATATATAATGTCCATTTCTAATATTGTACTTCAATCTTAACTAAATCTTTATCTTTTTCTAGTTTTAAGAATTACATTGGCATAAGGCCCAATTCTATCAATGTAAGATTTACTTTGTTTTTTTTTAACCTCGGTTCAATTTTTATTTTCTTCTAGTTCTACGAATTAGAAAAAGATAAATACTAAGTTACACTAAGAGATTAAAGTTAATCTTATACTACATTGGTAGAATCGGGTTTGTATAGATATATATCTTTTGAGTTTAGTTATATGAATAAATACATTTATAATATTTTTTAGATGTGTGTATGTATGTTGTGTATATAAATAAAATATAAAAAGATATTACACATTATTAATCATGATTGCCAGTTGTGATATAATGCACCGCATGCATTATATTATAGCAATTGTGTTTAATGATATAATATTTTATCTTTTTTATATTTTAATTATATACAAACA